TTGGTGGAAAAAAAATTCCAGCACAAGGGGCGAAGGGGGTTCTTCACAGTAAGATCAGTTAGGGTCTGGAACTCACTGCCACAGGCGGTGATTTCAGCAAATAATGTGGAATTGTTCAAGAAACTTTTGGACGATTTCTTAAGGGACCGTAATATACAGGGGTACAGGTAATATACAGGGGTACAGGTAACATACAGGGGTACAGGTAATATACAGGGGTACAGGTACTCCTAGAATGAGATCCTAATAGGTTGGACTTGATGGACTAATGTCTTTATTCAACCTCAAATACTATGTAACTATGTAATAATAATAATAACTTTTAGTTCCACAACAGCTGGAGGGCCCCAACATTTGCCTACTTCTGCTCTAGCCTGTGTCTTCCTGTCTCAGTCCAGGAATATACCGCTGGGATACAGAGCTCGGTATTATGTATGACTGTACCAGGAGACATTAGAGGGTACGTGCTTCTGGGACTTTTCTTTAGTAGTAGTTGGGGAGTGCGAGAACCCATCAGATTTGTATCTCTGTCTGTATCACTCACTGTTGCAGATTTTCCTCTGTTGTCAGCAAAACAGGAAGTGAGGGGAAATGTCTCTAATGGAGCCCCTTCCTTTTTTTTTTTTTTACATCAGCATGAGATGAAGAAGAAGTGGATGATATCTGCACTATCGCGTTACCTGTGACACAGCGACGATGTTGGCAGCGTACGGGAGAAGGTCGTACTTGCATTCCCGGCAGATTTTCTTCAAAGTGGAGACACTGGACACGGACAGCTCGGGATTCCCCAGAGCGTGCAGGACGAGCGGTAACACCTTATTGATCATGACTGGGTGGTCTGCCAGCCATTCTGCCAGCGCTCCTAGCAAAACACACACAGGAGGTGACATTAGCAATGCATTCTCTTCCATCCTCTTATTATAACCACATGACCCCAAGAGGGGCTGTATGGGGCACGACAGACGTCCAACAAAGGTCGCAATGGTAGAGGATTGATATAAGACCAACGACTGGCTTAAAGGAGAACTATGAGGGGGGGAGGGGGGGGTGCTTTTCACTCACCTCATAGTTCTAGCCGACCTGTGACAATGAGACTGTCACAGGTCGGCTCAGTAGATCGGGAAGTGAGCGAACACATACCGGCGTTCGCTCACTTCTCGATCCTGTCACGGCTCTCTGCTGCGACAAGGGAGGGGCTGGATTCCCCCCTCCGATCTGCCAGCGCTGACTGGCGGAACGGACGGGGGAGGGTGCAGCTGGCTCTGCCTCTAGATAGGCAGAGCCAGCTGTCAGTCACGCAGCTGGGCGGATCCCGGCACAATTGTCGGGATCTGCTTCAGCTGCGGGCATCTCAGCATACCGCGAGCTGTAGCTCCCTATATACTGAGCCTAGGGGTGACTGGAGGACGCTAGTTTGTGTCCTCCTGTTACCCTGAGGAGAACTACGGGGAAAAGCCTTAACCCCATAGTTCTCCTTTAAACGTTTTTTTATAAAATGGTCCCCCCCAATGGATTAAATTAAAAAAAGCAGCTCTGACTGCAATACCCCTTTCCTCTCCGACGCTGTCCCCTGCAGTAATTCAGTTCCACCACAAGATGTCCCCAGTCTCTCAGGTAAATGATACCCATTAAACCCAGCAGGCTGAAGAGATACTGCGAGTGATTCGGCATATTCTATAAAAAGTGTTCCGTGCACCAAATATTTGGTGCTCCATCAATAGTTTATAGAAATTAAGATAAACTCCAACTTGAAAGATATATAAAGAAAATATGTGTAAAATATGACGGCCATGCTGCCAACAAGAGTGTTGGCTTAGTGGATGCAGGACATCAGTAATCCCAGGAAAAAGAAAAGGGCCTGACAGCGAAGGAGGAGAAAGAGGGCTGCATTTTACAGAATGCTTTAAAGGTATTCCACTCCTGCACAGCTTAAATGCTGAGGCCGAAGTTGGGCTTTAAAGGAGAACTATGGGGGGAGGGGGTGCTTTTCACTCACCTCATAGTTCTAGCCGACCTGTGACAATGAGACTGTCACAGGTCGGCTCAGTAGATCGGGAGGTGAGCGAACACATACCGGCGTTCGCTCACCTCTCAATCCTGTCACAGCTCTCTGCCATGAGAGGGGAGGGGCTGGATTCCCCGCTCCGATACGCCAGCGCTGACTGGCGGATCGGACGGGGGAGGGGGCGGGTACAGCTGGCTCTGCCTCTAGATAGGCAGAGCCAGCTGTCAGTCACGCAGCTGGGCGGATCCCGGCACAATTGTCGGGATCCGCAGTATACTGCGGCGTCTCAGTATACCGCGAGCT